CCAGAGCACAAAGCGTCCTATGCAGTAGATATCTCTCCTGAGAGGAAGTGGAGTGAAGTAGAGGCGAATTAACCTTCCCAGTAGGCGAGTCCATCACAGGAATCCCCTAACTGAGTCCCCATCTCTCTTCAAGTGCTAATAGCCGAACCTGCGAGCATCATGGGCTGCCACGCATAAAGTTCTAGTCAATGAGAGCGCTTGGTAGAGCTAGGGCAAGATTTTCACCTCGGGTAGTAAGAGTGGTGGTCTTTCTCAGTCGTTATTTCGAATTTTGGATGTTCTGTACAGTGGTTAACTTACAAAGTCAGAAGTTGTTAGCAGCAACGGCTTCGAGTGATACACTCCTTCGCCAAGACAAAAACGTGCGCAGCCCTGTTTTTGCATCCACTCACAGGCGGCAGCAGGGTATGCAACTCTACACAACTCTACAACATAGCCCCAATTAGGGTATCCAGCCCGAAAGAGAACCCCCACCCTGCATATCAAAGAGGAAAAGCCCACCTTTGCAGCGGTTACCATACTCGAGCACTGAAGGAATTTTCCTAGAAACAGAAGAAAGGTGCAGAATATATGGTAGAGTAAACGGTGTTCTGAGCACTATCTTCACCGAACATTCGGAACCCCGATAGGCGTCACCCTCAAGGAGTTTTCTCTCTCGGGGCCCGAGGGGCAAGGGAGCATCAGATCGGTAGGTGGTACGAACCAACTGATATACTCGAACACAGCGGTGAAAGGCCAACGCCCAATGAATAGAATGACTAGGAAATCAGCAATACGACCGTTCCTGCATCGATGCTCTCCAAAAACCAGATTAGGGCTCCGAGGGGGGCTATCGATTTCGCCGTGTTCGGCTATCTCTCTTTTAGAACCCTACGAGATCTAACAATAATAGGGATGCAAGTGCATACAGTACTATCGGTACCCAAACCCCAGGAACCCCCCAACCCTGCCGGTAGCGTCTAGCTGAATGTGCATCCCTAGGGCTACCGATGCTGCCAGCGCCCATCCATCGCTGGTTTATTAGTATGATAATATTATCATACTATGATATGACTGACGGAAGTCCTAGGTTCCAAGAAACGCCGTGTAGTACTGAAAAATTGTGGCACCCAATGCGCTGTTCGCTGCCGAAGTTATATATCTTTATCTACCGGAGTCTCGATATCTCACTTCCCACTTTCGAGTTTTATACGTCAGCCTTAACTGGATGAATTTTTTCGTACCCTCTGAGGTATGACATGCCCAATAATTAGGTTGTCTCACCAACAATAATGGAGATAGCATTGGGGAACCATGAGATCCTTTGTATTGTGGTGAGGCCACTATCCATCCAATCAAGGTCTTGCGCAATCTCACCAATTGTCTTGCGTAATATCAATCGCACCCCACCCTACCGGTAGCCCAGAGAAAGGGTTAGAATATGAACAACTGAGGGAACTATAACTGTTCCCCAACACTGAACCTACACAAGGTTTAGTATATAGCATTCCTGGCTGGACAGGAGTGGGAGAAGGTATCACTTGATTGAAGACCGTTCCACTATCCTCGGCCAGGAGCACCCCCAGAATGCCCCGATCCGCCGGGCCCGCTATAGCCTTGGGCTACTGGAACTTCAAGGACAAATACTGTATTAAATCTAGTCTCCATTGCCACACGGCTCTATTTGTTGAATAAATCGCCCCTTTTCAGCTGATATCTCCTCCCGGTCATGTGTATCAGTATGATATAATAGCATTCGCGGGAAATGTTTAGTGAACTCTAAAGTCTGCCCCAATGGATCCGGTGGCTTGAGCAGACTTTTCCCACGATTGGCTGAGACGAGAAGAGGGGAGAACCTTCATATGCTGCGAGGGGTATGAAATCTGCTTTACCGTTCCCCGACCCCCTATGGCTTGATGAATGATAGTATCCTAGATAAACAAATAATGGAGCCCTATTCAATATCGCGGAAATTCTTACCATTACATGTTGGAAGGTGGTTCTTTCTAGCGAGGAAGGCATTGATACTGGACCCCATTCTACCCCCCACTTCCCCATCTAAAAGGACCAAAAATACTGAAGGCTAACTTGCGGCCTGAAAAAGACTAGGTAAATAACAAAACATGGGAATTCACTCTCCGGGGTACTTTAAGACGCCGTACGAGTACTGGAGGGGTCTTCGATATTGCGGGAGTTCCCCCGGCCCGCCTTGGTGAAGCGTGGGTGCATCTATAACCTAATTTATTCCGGCATGGATACGGGTGATCGGACACACAGACTGGAGGTGTCAAAGCTTCTTGCTTGTTTGGGCAATTCACATGCCAAATTCGTTCTTTTATTTCCTATAATTAGTGTCAGGGCTCGAGAATCCCTTGCTGTCCGATCACCCACGACCATACCTTGGTACGGTACTCGTACATTTGGCGCAAGGGCAGCAGCCGAATTTTAAAACTTTCTTCTTTTTCGCAACGCATTGGGAAGCGAACTGCCGGACACTGAGTCAAAACTGTCCAATCGGCAAAATTTGCTTAAACAGTCCCAAGAGATAAACCCACCATCCTGCTTGTTAAGCTATCATACCCTAGGTGCTAAGTGTCCCTAGGTACCACCAATTCCCATGCCCCCCCCTACTCGAATAAAGCGCGACCCGGTTGAAGCCGAGAAAAACACAAACTCTCCTCTATCTTTCAGCTTACTGGCACTATATTTCTTCATCCGAGAACACTCAAACAGCCTCGTGGAGAAATCTGCTTACAATTGAGCCTCGAGAGATTGTGGCTAACATCAGCCTTGAACAACACACAAACTTCTGGCTGCTGAGTTGCATCGAGTGATATGCTGTGCCAGGTTCCTCGTATAATTTACCGTGTGGATGTAGACTACCTGAGAGCAGGCAGCACCTGGTCTTGGGACATAGCAATTGTGGCCATGTCACCTTCCGAGCCTTGCTATATGCCGCATCTGAATACTATTGTGTGTCGCCGCCTCGATCCAAATACCGTAACGCCCCAGCAGGATATGGCTAGCCTCGCGGGTGAAAAGAATCGGGTTGGGTCATCCTCCCGCAGCCACGATCGAAAACCGCAACGTGATATCGTTACGGCAGGTAAAAGGTGGGAGTTAAACACCCTCCAGGATGTGAGACAGTCTCACCGAGTTGCGGTTCGGTATCTGCACTGAAGTTGTCACCCCGGAATACTTCTGCACAGCCTCGTCAACTGCAAGAACAACGAACAACCTAATGTGCCCCATACCCTTATTTCTTCTTCCGCGGGGTCTTCGTAAGGAGTGAATAGAAGGTAATGGAAAGAAAGTCCGAGATATAGAATTGGAGCACTGTCCGGGTGAAATGGCGCTCTAGTATGCCACCAGGATACTGCTCTAAGGTTCCCCTAAGAAAGGCGGGGTGCGGTGAGGGAGTAGGCCTTCCAATTTCAGGTTGAGAAGAGTCAAATTCTCCGTAAACGTGACAATAAGCTTCGCTTCTAAAAAAGTTATACGGAAGCATAAGATATCATTTACGAAATTGATTTGTTAGATTGCTTCACCTGTAGTTGGTCTAATCTTGAACCTCCGGCTCGCCTACTAAGAGAAGCATGTTGAAAACTCTGGGCGAAATTCTTTCGGCTCCGCGAGCCGTTAAATTGCACAGGCATGGCTCAGCAGAGATCTTGATGCCCTAGATTGGGTCTAGATACGAAAGTTCATAGGTACCGTATCACCTCACAGGTTCAACCAGGAATGCCCTAAATCAGGGCACTGGGATCTAGCTAGCCTGGTGACCAAGTAGAATCTGTGGGGTGATTAGAAGGCCAAACGGGGCTGGAAAAATACCGTAGACGTACTTTGGACTAGCAAGACCTCCTTACTCGAGATCTCGACCTTCGGCGTTTGCCCTCGTAGGGTTGGGCTCACTATAGTGTTTTGCTCACTGTACAGATTTCGGTCATTCAGGTGTTTTACATTTTCTTCCTTGGCTGGCTCTACGCGCCATTCCGGGGTTGCCGCGCTTGGGCGGGGGGTGAGGGTCAGCTTCCAGTAAGCAAGAGAAGAGCGTATGTTGGGTTGTGGGCATACCGGTTTTTTTTTCCGGAGGACATTATCATACACCAGTAGGACACTCGAGACCTCGAGTATTGGTGTCTGCTCCAGTACTGTAGGAGTTGGCCCACTGTGCTGTTTTGCCCCTTCAATGAGCGTTATGGATATGAACCCCTACCCCTTTGTTTGCATCCCAACCGCCTTTCCATGGCCAGCATGTTTTTTTTGGGGGGGGTAGTGGGGTTGATGGGTATAGGGCAGCGACCTTATCAGATGATCCAGACAGCACTCGGGTTTTTTTGGAGGACAGTATGATAGGTAATAAGAGATAATAAGGTTCGGTACCGTATGATACCAGTATTATAATACGAGTATGATACTGTACAGTACTCGTACTGTTCGTCCGTCTCCACGTACCGTACTTTAAGTTGTGGAACCAAAAGGAGAGTAATCTACAGCGCGCTATCGTTTAGAATGTAATTGTTTAGAATTTCAATCACCCAACGGTTTTGCAATAAGAGATCAGGTCTCATATGGTATCATACCAGTACCGTAGTAAGTTTAGAGCCATGACTTTGAAGTCTTGTTTCCGGTCTTTTTTTCACCTCACCTGGAAACCCTGGACTCTGCTCGGGTCGGTTTGAGTGTTGAATCTGCCCTTGCTCGGATAACATACTGACAGACACCGTAGACATATCCTAATTGCTGTCCGACTTCAACCTACCGTCCTGGTAGTCCTATTCTACTACGGTAAGTTACGAGCACTGGCGCGGGCGATTGGTAATCTCTTAGGGGGGCATACTCTACGAGTACGGGCGATCCTGGGATCTGGATCTGGATTCGATCTGAATTCAAACACAAAGCAATTTGGTTCACGTGACCCCTCAGGAGATGATCCAAGGATCTCGCGTAAACACTGTCCAGCTACCAGGATTGCTTTTCAACCCCAAACTTCCGACAGCAGCTCCCCCCCCGTTTCACTCTCACGGAACCACACTCTAGCAACCAAAATTTCAGCTAAGGGTTTGTCGCGCCCTTCCTCCACTCTCGATTCCCTCCTACAACAGCTCGGCCAGCCTGTAACGACATGGGCAACGGGTGGCTGAAAGCTAGGGAAGGCAGGGGGCCGAGCAAACATGCACTTAACCGTTGGGTCTCCTATACAATGCCCGTGATCATGGCGGGGGCTGTCGGTTTTGCGACATGGGTTTTCGTCATGCTAGTTTGTGGTTAGTTACTGCCGTGTTTCCCCAAGTTTGTGGGATGACTGTCGGGTTGCGTGGGATTTCCACTAATCGACTATAACAGTGAACCATCTTCTAATAGGCCAGGGACGAAAGGGAACAGCTATCGCACTTCTGGTCGTTTACTTTGTCTTATTTTTACTGATGTCATCGGCATATTTGAGGGTATTATGGGTTGTCAGCACCAGTCCCGGTTTTGTTACCAAACAGTCAACTGATTCGGAAAACGAGAAATTTCTGGGTAGTGTCGAGAGTCGTAGTGATGCAGAGATAGGGCTAGGGGGGGTTCAGGCGGAAGGATGGCAAAGGGAAGAAGAGAGGATACAGCCACCAAAACTTATGGCCATTGCAGGGGGTCCTCGGGCGAACGAGACGGAGTCCCTCCCCGACGCTCTCCAATCTAGGTCGACAAAGGGTGCCCCGGGGCCCGCCTTTAGCCCTGAAACCATAGTTCAGCCCACGGATGGCCCTTCCATATCGTCGCTCCCCGCTTCCTCAGACCCTTCACTTCAGTCACCAGCCGCACGGACAGTGTTTTCTGAGAACGCACTTGGAAGCCGACCCTATTGCACTTATGGACCCCCTCGCCCCGAAACGGGTGCTGGATATCAAAACCTGGATGAATGGTTCAAGCGGGATGCATTTGTTTGTGAGAACGATGGGCTTCCTAGGTGGTGCGTTCATTGCCAGCTCTGGAAACCGGATCGATCGCATCACTGTAGCGAACTACAAAGGTGTGTTTGGAGAATGGATCACTTTTGCCCTTGGTTAGTTATGCCTTAATTCCGATATAGATACTCCACATCTTCGCACTGGCCCATGTGCTGATTTTAGGGTTGCTTTCAAGGGTTGGCGGAGTTGTTGCCGAACCCTCGTACAAGTTTTTTTACCAAATGGTTTTCTACGGAGCACTATACTGTCTTTTCCTTATCGTATCAATCGCTGTAGTTTTCCGGCAGCAAATAAATGACAATGGTAGACAAGACGCTCGATGGGTTGCCTGCTTGGCGTTGTAAAACCCCTCACAAGCCGTCTTCACCCTATTGGATTTGCTAATGTGGTTTCTTTAGGGCTTGTGTATTTGGCTTATTCTCGGGTGCAATGGCCGGTTCAACAACTCAGCTTGTTTATCGGAATGTCTCGACAATCGATAGCTTAAATTACAAGACCAAGGTTTATCAAATAGCGCTACACGATCCAAATGCTGCCCAGATACCACCTCCTGGCCAGAAGATATCGGCGGTGATGCCGGCAAGAATATGGCTACCGCAAGAGCCAGGCCCAGGCCAAAGGCAAAGATGTTTTGCTATCGTCAGCACGCGGCCAGGGGACAATCCCTGGAGGCTTGCCAGTACACTGGAGAATTTTCAGGAAGTACTAGGCTATAACTTTTGGGATTGGTGGTTGCCAATCAAAAGAAGCCCATTAGAGGCAAAGAAGAGCGGCGAAGGTTGGTACCGCTGGAATGAGGAGCTTTTGTCGAGGCTCAGACATCAGGCTGGAATCACCCAACCTTCAGGCCAGAGCTGTTGAAAATATTGCTAGGTTGTCGCGATGGAGGGTATCGCCCAGGGTACCAGAGAATGGATAGCTGCCGGCATATATGACTTCTATAACCTTTGTTCCCTTTCTTAGTGTCTTGTTTTCGGCAATTGCAACATTATTTTGGAGTGATGGTATTTGTATCAAGGGGCTTGCATTTCCTTTCTATTCGTTTTCAGGATGGGAGGTTCTTTTACTCTATAATTCCGTATCGCAATAATCCTTAGTGCTGCATAGAGTTGCGTTTTCGTTACGAGATCAGAGGAACCAGGAAGTGGCGGGGACACAAACACTCCTGGTCCTAGCCTTTTTGTTAAATTGGATGGGCCATACGTGCTTCTAGTTGTTAGTGTAGTTTTTAGTCTCGAGTATAATATTGCCATGGTCACTGGGCTGTTTGTCCGTTTGCGCAATTTGAGCCCCACGAGCACGAAACCGTGCATCACTCATTCGCCCCGGGGACCGAGGTGCTGTCACGTGAAGAAACTGTGACTCCTCCCTCCTAAGCCACACCCCATCAATTTCCGTTCTCGGCTCGAAATCATTGGGTGAGGGGCGAAGCCCAAATAAACACCTTTGAAAACGCAGGCCTTCTTTAATATTGCTGCCATAGTGGTGGCGCGAGATCCTATTCAAAGCTCACTCATCGTGGGCAGGTACCAACCGGCAGCGGCTAAAACAGGTCGGGAAAATCGCTCAGAAACACAACCGAGGGATAGTCACACGTGCGAGTAAAAGGAGTACTGGGAAGTGGTAAGTGAGCATCATGGCAAGTCACTCGCCGAAGGCGTGTAAAAACCAGGTATCATATCAATGAGGGAATAAGCTCACGATGACCTCCTAGGAGGGGTCTGTGTATATGCAACCGAGTGACTCGAAATGGGGGGGTTGAGCCCCGGGACGCTTGGGCTTACCGGAAATGCAATCCTTGGGGGACGTTGCACCCGAGTGGGCTTGCGGAGGTCATGCATTTCCCACATTGTAGGGAAGGGAGGGGGAGGTATGTATGCCCCAGAAACCCTTTATTTCCGGTGCTGCTCATCATGCAAATGCCCCCCTTCCCGGGTGTTCAGTTCACCAGTACCGTAAGCCAAGCCACCTGTGCACCAGGCCTTCCCAGACCACGCGCACTTTTGCGCGTGGTGATCCAATCTGCATCGCCGGCTATAATTTAATAGTCACGGCGGGCTTGCAGGTGCAGCTTTTGAATGACGCAAATCCTCCTCGTCCGAGTGGGTGAGACTGCGGGGTATTTTCTGTTTTAGTGCGTGAGGTTTGGAGCGATGCGAGGCAGAGCGGTGGGGCAGGGAGGCGCACTGGTCGTTGAAATAGGAGTTGCATGCATGGGCAACTTGGGTCTTATTTCTGGGCGGTTGGGGTAAAAGTGCACTTCTACGCATGGATATATATATGCCTCTCGGCAGTCCCCCAACAATTCACACGCTAGAAGGCGAGTCTCTGCTTGGGGGAGCTTACCGCTTTGGGCGCTACCGAGTCAGATAAGCTGAAGGAGCAAGATTGGATATCACCATAGCTCGGATGTTTTTAAGAGATCGTTTTGATGGAGCAGGTTCGGATACCGTAGGTGGACTTCTTTCTTCTTGCCTGTCACTTACCTGGATATGTTTAGTTTGCTTGCCTTGTTTTCACTTTGTTGGGCCTCGTGAGGGGTTTTAATTTGGAACTGGGGAAACGCTCTTGGGATGTGGCATTGTCATCAGCATTGGGCACGGACCGTGGTCAACGTTTTGTGTGCATTATGATGATGGAATGATCCGCCCGGCTAGAGGTTGAGATGCTGGTGGCGTATGATAAATAAAGAGCATCTAATAGGAGGAGCTCGTGAACGCACACGGGGGACAGGCTGCGGCCATTACACAAGCCAGCGGAGCCAATGTACTACTCAGGATTAGAAGTCATAGAGCTCCCATTAGTCACTCGGAGGAAAAGTGACTTTTCCCTTCTTTCCAGTTCCACGTTCTGGGCACTGCCAGAGGCTGAGACTTATCGCGTGTCTGGGACTGGTTATACCGCTGACAGAGTATCATACGACGCCGCACTCGGTCATGAACGTGAGTGATCAGACACTCAGGGATTAGGAGGTAGAGGAGACACCGAACGGGGAGGGACTGCGATCAGCCCTACCAAATTTGACTCTTCCACCACATTTTCAGGGGACACTGTTGGCCTTCCCCTCCGTTCGCTGTCGCCTCCACTATGTTATCAAAGCTACTTGATCGTTTGAACAATTTCTATTCCAAATCCATTCCCTTTCTTATGAGGGTAGCGACAACGAGACCCCAGACCCCAGAACCCGCCGAGCGCCCGATCACGAACACTCTCATCCGTACCCGAGCGCTGCTTGGGTGATACCTTTCTGAGAAAAGTGGTGGGAATGAATCTTCCAGCTTCTACCTTGGCCTTCATAATATCTGATCGCCTGTTCTCTTGTTCCTGCCCATCCTCCATAAGAAGGTGGAGTCATGCGGTGTTGTTGCAGATAGGAGCTGAGACCGGATTGTAGGCTTACATCTGAACCACCGGTCGAGATAGAAGTCACCGAAGGATACTAAGCTAGGCGGTCAGTTTCTTTATGTGAAGGCATTTGGTTATAGTAGGTTGGTCTTTAATACCTGTTGGGCTGCCCTTGGCCATGCAGGCAAATGTCCCGCCTCTCCAACAGACATTCTGATACTTGTATTTTATAAACTCAGACGGCATTCCTACTCCTTGGGGGTTTCATCCCCCCCTTTAGAGTCCCTCCCGGGAAAGTTCCGTCATATTGGTCGTTCGTTCCCCGGCGCTCCAGGCGCTTCCTGTCGCCTCTAGTAACGCCAAGCTTCGGAATAAGCACTCATATTTCGCTCTATCCTTAGCCAACATGTCCGTCAGTTTTGCGATCTACCGTCTGCGCCTGATAACTTAGAAATCTCAGAAATTGATGTGCGGGGACAGGCGGAATTCTAACTGGCAGGAGGCTTGCATCAGCGCAAGCGCGACGCTGTTGTCCCCTGAAATACTGAACCCCCCAGAGGTCAGACGGTTAGGGGAAGGATCCTGGGGGGTTGGCAATAACCGCCCTCGTAGGAAATGGGAGAATGGACTCGAGATGGAGATTGTTCGAACGAGCAAGAGTCTTTGATACCCCCCTAACCCCTAGTGTCGAATTACCCACGGCCGCACCTTAGCACTACCCGCACATAGTCGGGGAGGGCGCAGCGGTCGGGCGCTTGCGTTTCTGAAACGAGGCCGAGACAATGTTTTTTTTTTTTTTTTTTCGGGGGGGGGGGGGATTCGAGTGATATTTGGTGATGACTGCGAAAGTGGTTCCCTCGAGAGTCCGTAAGCATGCCATTCCTAGGGCATAGCTGCCGCCTATGGCTCAAGGATATGGGTGCAGCTACAGACTTGTTTTTTGGGAGTACAGGTGCCAGGGGAAATGTTTTCATAAAGGCAGGAATTTTTTTGCGAGTGAATCTGAGTAAAAAAAAAAAGAGTCCAAAAACTTAACATAGACTTTGGATTCCTGGCCTATGGCATCATACCAAAGACTCCAGGGTTTAGATGTGTTATAGGCTTTCATTAGTCTTTAATCGTTTATATATTAGGTGAAAAGGAAAGAAGGGAAAATACTCCATTCCTGTCATGGTAGGTTTATGAAAAAAGTTTCTTTAGAGTTGGGCACGAGTTTGACTTTGGAAGTCCGGGTTGGTAATTCTGGTCCAATCTGCAAAGAAAATCCAGTCCTATGATAGTCCGAGTCAACCAAACACCACCAGACCCGAGGTCCAAACTTAGACCAAGATCCGGATTTTGAGTCCAAATCCGAGGGTGCCAAACGGATCCCTAGTGCTGAATTTCCTGTGCTGGAATATTTCCTTTATCCCTCAGAACCTCTTTTTCTTCACGCTCGGACTGGCCCATTCAGAATGTAGAGCAACGTTCGAGTTTAAGTTCACACACATCACAGAACCTCCCTGACAGAGACTGGAATTTTAGCCCCATCTTTTTTCTTCTTCATTTTTTTGTTTTGGGGGGCATAGTGTTGGTTTTCAGTTTTTTTTCCTTCCTGGGATCTTGAGTTTTTTCAGCGGCAAGTTTGCTTGGAGGCTTGGCACCCAGACTAAATTGGCCGCTACCTCGAGTATAAAAAACCATGCACACACGGAAACCCAACCCCGAACCCAATCACCAAGCCTTCAAGCAACGGGGGCCCTTCTAAAATCATCCAACCTCCCGATCCGACTTCTCGATTCAATGGCAGATTTTCTAGAACGGCAACAACCCGAGCCTCAAATCGGGTACTTTTCGAAGTGGAAATCGTAGAGCAAAGTTTCCGCCAACTTGCCACTCAAGCCTCCCGTGCTCCGAACCACCCCGCATTCGATCAGGGGGCCAAAATATTGGCAGCGTTGCGGCGGCTCTTAGAAAGGACTAGCCGCACCCCAGCTAGGACAGGCCGGCCTCCAGTAGGGGCAGGCTGACCTTGGGGAAAGACTAACTGCTCTTGAGCAAGGGCAGGCGGGCCTCGAGCAAGGACAGGATGCCCTGCAGGAGGGACTTGATGCGCTCCAGGAGGGACAGTCGAAAATCCTGCAGCAGATACAGGCAGTGTATCCAAGTGTCCCGGGCGAGCTGTAGGGCCCTGGGGAATGGTAATCCTGGGCGTCCCTGGCAGGTTGCCTTAGAGTTCTGGACACTGGCGTCCGTCTTTCTTAAAGACGGTAGTCTGGGGGGTTGACTATAGGTCCCCGCCATCTCATGCTAGCGCTGTTCCTGAGCAAGCCTGAACTACCTATCATACAGGGCTCGGGAGCCGCCCTCAGTCATCCACAGGTACCTACCGTCGCCTGCGGTCACCTATAGGTACCTGTGTTGCCAGCGGTCAGCATATAGGCGATGATACCTACAAGGCCCGGGGTCCATTCTAGGCAAAGCTTAGGATGGACGCTGCGGTAGCCGTCCGTTCCTGGCATGCTCTTCATTGAGGATGGACTGACTGGGCTATCGAGCACACTAGATACAGGGAGTTAGAGATGAAACCTCCCGCTAGTAAGTTCGTCTTTTGATTTATTTTTTATTTGTAAAGTGACTAATAGGACAACTGGCTATAGGGGAAAAACAACATTGCTCAAATCTACAACAAGGGTGTGAGAAAAACAGACTGACAAGAGAGGAGGAAATTGTATAATTTGATAGATAGAGTGAGATTCAAATTCTGGGTTGTTCGCAAAGGCAGAAGATTGGTGTTCAGGTTCGCATATCGTTTCTAACTACATGATT